AATTTTATATAAAAATATTCGAGAAAGTTTAGGGGAGATCACTCCCGGTTTATTATATGTAGCTATTGAAACTGTTTTAATTACTCTATCCTCCGAAACAGACGCCATGATTCTGAAATTGATTATTCATTGAGCGGGTGCTCTTCTTCTGTTCTGCAGCATATATGTATATACGTTGTTTGGAAGAATTGGGAGCAGTGTTTCTTCCAGACTTTTTTCTCCGGGGTGGCACTTGAAATTTTTTTCGGGGGGGGGGGGGGGGGGGGGGGGCGGCGGTAAACTTTTTTCGGGGGGGGCGGATTTTGTTAAAAAAATATATTTTCTATATAAATTATATACATTTCATTTCGTTCAGGGGGGGGGGGGCGGTAGAAATTTTTCGGGGGGCTTGCCCCCCCCCCCCCCCCTCCCCCGAAGAGATGCCTGGAAGAAACTCTGATTGGGAGGGACAATGGCAAGCGATTACTTGGCTTTGGCTGAGCAATAAGTTACTTCCCATTTTAAATTGTTAAGGGAGGTTAAAAAAAAGAAAAATTATTAAAATTTAATAAAATAATTATTCATCATACTAACAATGAAATTTAATATTTAGAACTTATCAATTTAAATAAAAATAAAGAAATGCATTTTAGTCTATTAAGAGATGTGTGTTATTAGTAATGTTTTATATGAATTAGTAAGCAATTATACAGTATTTAAATTTATAAACACACTACCTATATGTTAAAATTGCTTTATACAATTTAGAGAAACACTACTTACATTTATTACTTTCATAGGTGTATTATTATTTACAATTTCGGATCTCTTATAAAGAAAATTGATGAATAAATAACTCAAACGTATTGTCTGAGAAACTTATTTTTATGGAGGAACTTTTCTCTAAATTTAATAAACCGGGAGTGACCTCCCCTAAACTTTCTCGAATATTCTAATATAAAATTACGAGGGATGGCAACTCAGGACATAGACTATATTTTTTATCCATTTTTAATTACTTAAACTTTTTTATAAAAGAATAGAATCTCGTAAAACAAAAAGTATTGCACACCAAGTGAAAAGTTTCCCTTTCAAACCTGACGGTCTATGGGGCAAGTGAAGTAGAGTTCACTTGTTTCTGTGACCTCGGAATATGAAGAGATAGTGTGGTCAGCACTATGCCCAGCCGCCTTTACTTTCCCTAACAGGAGTTAGATACCCATCAGAGTTGTTTGGACTCAGGGACGGTCTACTGACTTGAACTCGGATTCGAACCTAACGGGTTAGCAGTCCAGCTCTCTACCGCTAGACCACTCCGTCCCACACCAAGTGAACGCCTAATAAAATGTGTATAAAAGTGCGTGAAATTATTAATACTTTATAAATTTACATGCGTTTTTTGAGAAATCGGAAATAGCGTAAATTAGTACTTCCGGTCAACGGAAATTACTCATAATTTGTTAGAAGGTAGAGAATTAGATCTTTTACTTACGTGTGAAATTGCATGCATCTATCTAAAATAGTACGCAACTTATAGGCTTTTGAAAAATTCAAAGTAGAAACAGTACCACTTCCGGTTATCGGAAATCGCTCAAAAGTTGATCAGGATCTACGATTTTGATAAAATACTTTTATATGAAATTTCATCAACCTAGCTGTAACGGTACTCAAGTTATCGTGTTTACACACAGACAGACACACAGACACACAGACATACGGACAGAATTGCAAAGTCCAGTTTCTACGACTCGATAACGCATAAAACGCCAAAACGTTTATATATTTGTATGTATAATTTTTGCCTGATTAAAATAAGTCCTCTATACTCCGGATGTGATGAAGGACTGAGGAGTAAAACGGTGAAAACTGTCAAAATTTCATGTTATTTTTGTGCACGATTACAATACTTTCTCTATACTTCGTATATACGAGAAAGTAAAAATTCATCAAACATTACAAGTGTGGCTATAACAATATTTACAGAGCGACTATAGCTCAAATGTATACATCATAGTGCTGTGCTACAGTAAGAAACAACATGATATTACATGGGAAAACACAAACCCGCTAATAAACTAAAGAAACTACGAAAATAATAATTAAAAATTAAATGTTTACACTCTTCAACTTGACAAAAATTATTGAAGAAATGGCTTTTCTGGGTTCAGCAATAGCGAATTGAAATATAGACGAATAAGAAACATGCATCTGTAGAGGCCTATAGGAAAATTAGCTGGAATAACTTAAAGCAGTGTGTGTGTGTGTGTGTTAGAGAGAGAGAGAGAGAGAGAGGGGGTGGGGAGAGAGAAGGGAGGGAGAGGAGGGGTTGGCAGCCAAGGTGTGTGGATAGATCTCGATAATGGTAAATATGTACATAATACTTATTATAATGTAAAGTGCCTTTAACAACAATCCATGGTTAAATAGGAGTAAGAAAACAAAGACGGTAAAGAGCTGCTAAGATCAAATTTTAGTGTCTGTAAGAACAGACACTAAAAGTGTATATAGGGTAATTTATTTCAATATCAGATGTATGTGATTGGTGCTTTACATTTTGACAGTAATTGCTCCTAATGTCTAATAATTATTTTATCTAACCTAAATCAGACATAAATGGAGGTAATCCTATTTTTGTAATTCTAGTTTATTAATTTTGTAATGTCCCTTTGATCGTAAACCACAATACTTAACACTCCTAGCATGTAATATTGGCCCTAGTGGGCTGTAATACATGAGGAGAAATAAAAGGATTGAAAAAAGGTACTTTGGACTTTACATTCTGTTTTGCCCTGTACACAGTATACATTACATACAACACGTCAGAGCTATGCCGGGTTTCAGATACAATTCTTAAAACATGATTGGTTGCCAAGAATCTGAAATTCGACAGATTTAAAAACAAATAAACAACTAACCTCGAAAGATAACTTGGTGGAAAAATATAATGTATATAATACAGAAAAAACAGATTAACGTTTCAAATCTTGTTTACAGTTTATTACAACATGTGTGGTTGAAAGCCGATTCCAGCAGGCATTTGGATTAAACACTGTGTTGATCAGAGGCGTAGCGACAAACTTTTCGATTTGCACCCCCCCTCAAGATTTCGATTTGCACCCCCCCCCCCCTCAAACTTTCGATTTGCACCCCCCTCAACCTTTCAATTTATTTTTCCAACCCATTTTGGCGCCCCCTAAGGTCGGCGCCCGGGGACATATGTCCCCCCCCCGCCCCCCCCCCCCTCGCTACGCTACTGTCCATTCTAGTCTGGTACACAAGTAGCCTATATGCTAATGTATGCACGTTGTTTAATTAGAAATATTTGGTATTATCAGGACAAAACATTTCATTGGAAAATAGGAATATAGTTGTAGACAATAGAAGGTTGTTTTGTTGTTGTTGTTGTTGTTTTGTTTTTGTTTTTGTTAATTTATTTATCCTCCGAAACACGGGCCATAAATTGATCCTTCGTGAAGTTGGTGCTCGGCTGCTATTCTGCAGCATATACCATTTTAAGTTGCTTGGAAGAACTATTGGAGCTAATCGCAGGCGAATACTTGACTTTGTCTGAGCAATAAATTACCTCCCATTTGAAATTGGTAAGGGAGGTAACGGAAAATAAATATTAAAATTTGTTAAATTACGTATTTATAATATAAAAAACGACATTAACATTTAGAATTAATTATTTGCTAAAACAATATGTAATGCCGATAGGGCTATAAAAAAGTGCCCGATGGCTAATGGTTAATATGCAATGTAGCACAACTTTACCGTATTTTTTATTCATATGCACACTACCTTTATGTGAAAATAGGTTTGGTTACTAAAGAGAAAATCGTTATTCTCATAACACGTCACTGTAAATAATAACAATTAAGATCAAATTTTGGATCTCTTTGAAAAAAGAGACGAATTAATTATGCCAACAGTAGGTCTGTGAAACTACAGAGTATATAATGGAATATTCTCGGCGCTAAGCAATTGGTTCCCCGATATAACGTTAAAGTTAAAACAACCCCTTCAAATAGACACCGAAGTATTTGCTCTAATCAAAAGTGCTCCCGACTCCTTGACTAGTGTAATATAGGCTCCCGACATATGGGCACACGACAAATGTGCTCCGACAAATGGGCTCCAGACATACAATCATGGCTTAAGATATTATTTTAATATTGTCAAATTTTAAGTGACCTGAAGTAGCGACTTATGCTATTTCCGATTTCACGAAATCCATAAGAATTTGATAATTACGTCATATTGAAGCACAGTACTTTTTTCTACGAGATTTTATTATATTTAAAAATTGTAATATACTTTTTAATGGAGTATTGAGCACCATTTCCTACGTCTGGAAAAATCTTTAGGATTTGATTATTTGTAATCAAGTTCTCATAAATAATACTCTAAAAAAATATTCGTTACATTTTTTTTCCCAAAAAAAAAATGTTTTGTCACAAAGTTCAATATTTCTATAGCCAGATTGCACTAAAATTGCCCCCCCCCTTACTATTATAAAAGTGGATTTGAAGTTTGATGATCAGATCACATGACCTCACAGCAGTGGCATCGCTTGGTAGGGTGTCACCCTCCCCCTACACACACCAAAGGAAAACATGTATTTTATATATATATATATATATATATATATATATATATATATATATATATATATATATATATATATATATATATATATATATGTATATATAAAATAAAATATAAATAAATAAATAAATAAACAAATATATATATATATATATATATATATATATATATATATATATATATATATATATATATATATATATATATATATATATATATATATATATATATATATTACATATAAATATATATTTATATATAATATTATATATAATATATATATATATATATATATATATATATATATATATATATATATATATATATATATATAATATTATATATTGTATATATATATATATATATATTTATTTATATTTATATTTAGAAATGTCTACTACACTTTTAGGATGAATATTTATTTTTATTTAATTTATTCAGATAATCACAACACATATATTTGATCCGCAAAACGTGTCCCGTCCAACTTTTTCATCTCTTCATCAATGGCCTCACTTTGGGCCACAGTCAGCCAGTTTTTCCAGTCGCCTACTTGGCCTGTAGAAGACAATAAATGAAATAATTAATGTATTAGCATAAACAAATTAAATTTAAAGTTAGTTTTTTTCACGTTATATCTTAATTTTTAAGGTTAGGTTTCCGTCTTTTTAGCACTAACTGTATTACAGATCTAGAGATCTATGTGCGGATATCGACTTCTGCTATAAACTATTACTATTATACTGGTACGTGACATACATAAATAAATAAATATTTTTCACGGATCTGGAGTTTTCAGAACTATCTGTCTAATACGATTATCAATTTCTTATACGATTTTTGTTTGTTTGAACGTTTGAAATGTAAAATATTGCATACATCACTTCATACAATTTTTTTTACTGTCTTTTGTTGTTCTTTCTGTAAAAGTATTTTTTTATTTTATAGTAAAGTGTCCCTTTCAAACCTGACGGTCTATGGGGCAAGTGAAGTAGAGTTCACTTGTTTCTGTGACCTCGGCATATGAAGAGATAGTGTGGTCGGCACTATTACTTTCCCTAACAGGAGTTAGGTACCCATCAGAATTGGGTGGACTCGGGGACGTCTACTGACCCGGATTCGAACTCGAGACTAACGGGTTAGCAGTCCAGCTCTCTACCGCTAGACCACTCCGTCCCACTTTATTATACAGTAGTGCATATATTTAGTTGCGCCCTAATTATAATTTAACAAGACATAAGTCAACAGGAACACAAGAAACATTGACGTCACGAACGAGTAAAATGTCGGCCCAGTCAAGGGAGACAAGCTTTTGGTGACATGCTCAGAAAATGTATCCTATGTATTTTATGAACCTCCCAGAAAAATAAAAAAAAAACACTGTTGTTTTTTCATGAACGCAAACGGGATGTATTGCGGCCATTGGCTCAGTTTTTTTTTTTTTTTTTTTTTTTTTTTAATCATCTGCCTCTGGACAGGTAAAAAAACAAAACTTAAGCCGGAGAAATAAAGAAAACACACAAAATATTTGAAGATTGTGCAGTGAATTTCTGTAAAAGTAATTTTTGTTTCTGTAAATGCATAATTATTTATGCCAAGACAGGTTTTTTTGGAACAATTAGAAACATTACCATTATTTTATTTTTTTAGGATTAAGAATTTAATTTCGCTATTGGTTTTCCATTTAAGTCAGTGACAATTGAAAATTTTTAGTATTATATAAGCATATAGGGTAATAGATAAGTTTATGTAACCTATAATAATATTATTTTTAATGTATGAAGAAATTTTTTAATTTATATTTTGCTTCCATTTAAATGTGCTATATTTTCAACATCGTTTAGTAAAAATCGTAATTATTGTTTCCCTTACAATTCAAAATTTTTGCTATGGGAAGTAACAAAAAATATATTCACTGAATGTAATCAGCATAATTTGATATTATGTTGCGTTTAAATGTATTAAACATTAATGTGTAGAGTATTTATTTATCACACATTTTCTTGTATTTGTATATTCAGTTTAGAAAAGGTTGAATAAACTATAAATATTACTCCGCCCCACACAATAAAAAAAAATACGCAAACCCATATGTTATAACCACTACCCAAGTACCTACCCTATTAATAAATAAGAGACTAACCTTTTCGTAATAGCTTGCGAGAGATGGGGTTTTTCGTATCGTAAACTTTCTTCATCGCGTCAAAGCCGGCAGCTTTAGCTATCTCATCAACAAGTTTATCATCAAGGGATAACTCTAGGAATGCAGCCATCCTTCTTATCTCCCTTGGCAGGCCCTGCCGAGTTGAGAAACAACAGACTTTTACAACAAATGTAATTAAACGTTAGGAGTTATCCCTCGTGTGCCTGTTTCAAAAGTCAGACCGAGCAGAGGCGTAGCGTGGGGGGCGGGGGGGGGGGACATATGTCCCCGGGCGCCGGCCGAACTCAGGGGTCGCTAAAAAGGGTTGGAAAAATAAATTGAAAGCTTGAAGGGGAGTGCAAATCGAAAGTCTGGGGGGGGGGGGGGGGGGGGAAATCGAAAGTTTGTCCCCGGGCGCCGGGAAGGGTCGCTACGCTTCTGAGACCAAGCAAATTTCTGAGACGTAGTCAGCGTTAAAAGAAAGTTAACTAGGAATGTTAAGATTCAATATTCCGTGTTCTAACACATTTATAAGACCATTTGTAAACGTTTATCTAATATATATATATATATATATATATATATATATATATATATATATATATATATATATATATATATATATATATATTTACAAACCACATACATATAATATACACAGACATACATATATACACAAAATCACATGTATATATTTATAAAAGCTAACATATATGTATCTATATACTGTCAGGATACATGTTTAAAAAGCGTCTGACCTCTTTCATGGCTTCAAAAGAGACAACAAGTACGGGTAGGTTAGGGTTATCCTTAATAACTTGATCCCATTCTAAGTAGTAGTCGATGTAAGATCCATATTCCACTGGGGACATACAGCATTTTTTTTTTTAGAATTTAAGCACGAATTAATTTTGTGAATTGTTAAATATGTTTAGGTTTTCTACAACCACAGTAGAGGGTTGGATAGGAATTTAGAAGGTTCTAATCTAAGAAAGTAACAGTGGTTTCATTACAATTTTTTTTTTAAATGAGATAGATCCATCATCTTGGATATACACCCCCCCCCCCCACCCCCCACCAACCGCCACCACAACAACCACGACAGCCGCTACCTATGTCACTGTATCTCACCTAACCCATCCAGATACAACTGAAACCAGTTTTTAAAAGTCCCGTTGTATTTGTTCATCATTTGCAACGTCAGCACGTGGTTGTAATAGGACACCGACGTGTCTTTAGGGTTCCTGATGGTTATAATCGATTTCGTTTTTTTTCCTCCGCCAGCTGAAATAGGAACATCGGAAAATGACGAGCAACCAAATGTCATGAAAAGTGTCAATGACGTGATTTTATTAAAATAAAAAAAGTACATCTTTAGAAGCAAATAATTAATTTGTAATAAAAGGAGAATGTGTTTTATTTTTTTACAGTCAGAATTTATCCTCAAGACTGAGTTAGAACTGACCGCATTATCTATTCATATGACGAGGTCACAGAAACAGGTGAACTCTACTTCACCTGCCCTATTTGAAAGAGTAGTGCTGCATCATCGGGTCTACAGTATATGTCGTGTACGGGGATGGCGGACACACATTCACCATTATACCTGATCTGTGCAGGTGCGTAGATTAGCGAATTACCTGTGTAAGTAAATAGTCGAAAAGTTACCTGTGTATGGAAATAGTTGAACAACCAGTGGCGTAGGCAGGGAGGGGGGGGGGGGTTAGGAGGGGGTCATAACCCCCATAGACCCCTCGGTATATATATATAAAGTATGAGGGGCAAATCGAAAGTTTGAGGGGGGGGGGGGTGCAAATCGAAAGTTTGAGGGGGGGGGGGGGGTTGCAAATCGAAAGTTTGTCCCCGGGTAAAAATTGGAACCCCCCCCCTCCCCTTGAGACGATCCTGGCTACGCCACTGCGAACAACTTACCTGTTTAAGTAAATAGTCAAACAACTGACCTGTGTGGGTAAAAAGTCGAACCACAGGTGAGAGTTCAAGACACGAGGGCTGGGGGTGCGGTCGATGTTCTCAGCAGACGACATCTCTAAGAAACTTGTCCCCTTGCCTAGCTCTGACAAGATAGGGTTCTTGGCCACCATCATGCTGAGAACCTCCCAGGTCCAGTGGCAGCCTGATGCGAGCAAGAGAGGATGGAAGCTTTTATTTATACAAACTCAATCTTTGCCGAAGGTACAGTCGGAAATGAAGAGTATATAGTGTACGGCCATGCTTTATATTTTGTTGTTGTAATTCGTCAAACTTTGGAACTGCTAACCCGTTAGTCTCGAATTCGAATCCGGGTTCAAGTCAGTAAACCGTCCATGAGTCCACCCAACTCTGGTGGGTACCTAACTCACGTTAGGGAAAGCGAAGACGGCAGGGCATAGTGCTGACCACACTTTAGGGAAAGTAAAGGCAGCTGGACATAGTGCTGACTACACTATCTCTTCATATGCCGAGGTCACAGAAACAAGTGAACTCTACTTCACTTGCCCTATAGATCGTCAGGTTTGAAAGGGAAACTTTTTTTTTATTCATCAAACTTGAGACTTATGTTACTGTAAAATTAGTTTTGACATCGTCGTAAGACAATCTCCTTTTTTATCTAGACATTTTTACTCCCTGTGAGAGGGCGGGGGGGGGGGGGGGGGGTGTTTGAGTGGGGGGTGTGGTCGTGTCACTTGAAATTTCCAGGGGGGTTGTGGTGGGCACTGGCTAAAATATATAATTTCTATATAAATATAAAATTGTGTTTCTATTTCGTCAACAGAATTTCTTCGGGATGGGAGACTGGAGAATGGGTGGGGGGACTAGGGAATGGGGGGGGGGCAATGCCAGAGAGATGCCTGAAAGAAACAACACCGCTACCGCCTCCCTGATGTGTCACTGTGTCTCTGCTTGTGCAACTGACCAAAAACGCCCATAGTCGAGGGACGCTTATAACACGTTAGGTGGTTACTAATCAAACCATACAGGCTGCATTAGTAGCTTTCTAAACAACTACAGAGCAATCAGACTCTAAAACCTCCATGAACCAAATAGCCTCCAACTCACCTGTTTTGGGGTAACCAAGCAACAGGACGTCATCGTCCCTGAGCTGGACGTCCTTGACCCCAGTGATGTTACTCATGTTGAAACAAGGCAGCAGTTTACCATCGACCTCACACAGCCTCATCTCCACGCCGTCAGCGTCATACACGCTCTTGTTGCTAGGAAACTCCATGCTGTCAAGTTTCATCACGTCTTTCTGTTAAATCAAATTTCATCGGCTGAAATGTGTACCGTATCAAAAGCGTGATGCTTTAGTACATTTCATTGGCTCAAACATTGCATCGCTTAAATACCGATAATAACTGCTGAAAAACAAACTCTTAACAATGCTGTATAAATGTTATTCACGTGTGACGACATACATTTTTAACGATTCTACCACCTTTCGTCTTCGCTGATAATAAACTTGAAATAAAATGTTCACCTTCCAAAAATGGCGGCAGGCAGGACCTATTCCCCACTACAAAAATTTATTTTTTAATTTTTTTTTTTAATTTCGAATCGGCGATTATTTTTTAAAAATGGAGCTGTGTCACTAAAAGAAATATAACGGTTTAAATAAAGTTTGGAAAAAAAACCTTATTAAGTGACGTGAACAACCCCCACCCCACCCCCACTCCCAACACACACACACACACACCACTATGCTCGTCACACTTCATCACAAAACTCCGAATCACCCCCTACCCCTCCCCCTCCTTTCCTACTAGTATCCCGTCATTTATGGACAACACCATGCTCGACATCTTTTGTAAAATGAAAACAAACATGGAACTGTTTACGTTTATATTATCTTACTTACATAAACATCTTCACCACATTCATGTCAGTTTCGCACCATTACCA